AAAAACCATAGAGCTATACAGTGCGACGATCCTAAAGCACAGTGCTCCGCTAAAGTCTTGTCCTCCTTGGCCTGGTTCTTCGTTTGAACTTGTAGTTCTCACTGTCCATCACGGGTGACTTGGCGCCTTTTGCGTCCAGCCTTGGCCTTACTCTTTGGCTTGGGCTTTGCTTCAGGACCAGCGTCAATCTCCATGGAGGAGCGGCCACGGCTCAGGCTGGACGAAGTGGCAGTGGCTCCCATGCCTTGATGTCCTGCTACTTGCAACTGCTGAGCAAGCATGCTGCCTAGAAGCATAGCCATCGGGCTCACTTCGCCCTCGACAACGATGCGGTGCCCGTAGCAACCCAACACTCGGTAAGTGGGATCATCGGGATCTTCAGCTGCCTGCTGATCACCATCTGATTCACTGGCAGCAAACTCAGCAGGATCAACGGTGCGCAGTTGGATCTTGTGGAGCCGGATGCTGTGAAGCTGGATCCTGTTCAGCCGGATGTTGTTCAACTGAAGCCAGAGTGGCTGTAGCATCTCGCTCTTCTTGGCCAAGGACCCAAGGACCATGGTCTTCTCACTGTCGGAGCGCTCCAATTGAGATGACATGTCAACAAGGTGGCAAGGCAAACCAGTAGACAATTGCAGGGTTGCTAGGGTTGCTAGCCAGAAAAGCTGCAAAGTGTTCTCAAAGTGTACATGAGTTTCACTCAGTGTCAGGTTCAATGGTAATGACTCAAGGGTTCAAAGTTTACCACTCAAACATCTCAAGGACACAAATGTCAAACCACTTAAATCTCCCAAGACTTTGAAAAGTTCTATATAGGCTCAGTGTATTCTAGGTTCATCGAAAGCGTGTGTCAAAGGTCTCTCTCTCAAAGTGTTCTCTCAAGTCTCCCAAGTCTCTCTCTCAAAGTGTCCTCTCAAAGGTATCTCTCAAGGTAGCTCTCAAAGGTATGCGCAGTATCTTTAAAGGTGTACAAAACAGAATAGGTTTGAAGCATTTGTTGACACAACTGCAAATGACACACTCATTTTGAAATGATTGCGAATGACACTGCAATTGAAATGACTGCAAATGACAGTACACAGCTGACGCGCAGACTGCGCAGTTTTTTCACACACACCACAAAAGCCCTTATCCTGACCGGAGCCTTGCGTTTGCAAGCTATACGGTCATGACCTCCTCCAGCTCCTCCTCCTTCTCCTCCTCGATGCGCTGCGGTGTCGCCGGATCCTGCTCCTCGACCTCCTTCGCCTGGAAGATCTTTCTCGAGCGGGATCGCTTCCTCGAATCTCTGGAACCTCGCCGGGCTCGACAGGGCGACGTGAACGCTCAGCAGCTTTAGGACGATGAGCTGGAGCTTCAGGACTTGAACTCTTGTCCACCTTAATGCCTGGACCAAGCTTTGCGGCCACAATCTCTGGTGAAGAATCTCGCTCCAGCTTCACGTCCACGAAGGCCCGTATTGTCAAAGGTGGCCTTTTCTTCTTCTCTTCAATCTCTGAGGCCTCTGACTTCTCCTCTTCCGTTCCTTTCGCCGGCTCCTCGGCTTGTTCGTCTTTGATTTGAGGAACAACTGAAGGTAGTATCCAAGTTGAGGTTCTTCCTCTTCCTCCTCCTCCTCCTGCATGATGTAGCCATCGTCTGTGCGTGGTGCTTCATCTGTACCCTCATCCGCAGCAGCCACTGGACCAGGTGGAAGTGGAGTCTGGTGCGCTGGACTGTGCCATGGAGCTAAGGGCAATCTGCCTGGAACATTGGGCAAGCCGCCTGGAGCAAAAACCGCCTTTGCGTGACAGGGGTCGGTCGCGCTGCCATCGTGGAGGGCCTTGGGCTGACTGGGTGCAATCCCATGGGATTCACTGGAGGCATTGGAGGAGCTGGCAGAAACATGGGGGCTGCTCCTGGCATAGCTGCTTGGGCTGTTCCTGGCATAGGCATAGCTGCTTGGGCTGTACGTGGCATTGCTTGGGCTGTGCCTGGCATAGCTGCTGGGCATGTACCTGCTTGCATATCTGCTGGGCCTGTTCCTGGCATAGCTGGTGGGGGGTGGTGGGGCTTTTGCATCATTGTTCCGTGGCCGGGCTCGTTCAGCTCCAAGCGGTGCAGCGCAAACATTGGCAATGATTTGCCCATCACATCAAGCTCTTGGACTGCTTTATCCACCAGTTCGGCAGTGTCATAGTGTCATAGGAGAGGTAGCCATTTCCAATGCCGCTCGCTATGGAATTGTTAGACC